CCTGCCGCTGAGACATAGGGTTTAGCTGCTTCCGCCAGCCGCGCCTAATGGCCTCTCCCTTTCTTTTGCAGGCCTACACAATCCAGGGGCAATACGCCATCCCACACCCGGATGTGAGTTTTACCCTCATTTTTCTTATACCCATTTTACTCTTTTGTGTCACCCGCATGATACTTTTGATGACGACTAATATTAATATTAGCCAATAATATTAATAGCGGCTTCTCAAAGTAAGGTCTGTGTGTCGTTGGCCTCTCCCTTTCTTTTGCAGGCCTACACAATCCAGGGGCAATACGCCATCCCACACCCGGATGTGAGTTTTACCCTCATTTTTCTTATACCCATTTTACTCTTTTGTGTCACCCGCATGATACTTTTGATGACGACTAATATTAATATTAGCCAATAATATTAATAGCGGCTTCTCAAAGTAAGGTCTGTGTGTCGTGTCTGTAATACCTTGAGTAGCCTTTCAACCTGTTAGCACTAAACTTTGTTACCAGTGAGGACTTGGCCTGATGCTAAATTATTGGTGGTGTTCAGTGCTATCCCTTCCCGAAGGCATACGCCTGGGCTGCAGTTTGTGCCTCAGAGAACGGTCATGCCAGCCTGTTCCCTCTCTGTCCCACTCCAGGGACTGAAACACAAGCGAGGGCGCGGCTGTCTCCAGGACGTCGGCAGGCAGTCTGTCCCCGGGCGTTCTCTCTCCCACTGCCTGTCTGGGAGTGCCGACTCCTTCCCCCATTCCCAGCTCTCGTTCAGACGGGCGAGAGATTGTACAGTCCAGCGGTTCTGCGTACAGATGCCATTTCCCAGCCACTCTCATTGGCCTGGCTCACGAGCAGCACCCGCAAGGCCCTGAGAGCCGAATGTCAGTGCAGGGTTCTGGGCGAGTTGGGGTCTAGCCGGGAAGAGAAAGGGTCGTCCTGGACCCTCTCTGTCTTCCGGTGAGGGTGGGGGGGCTGGGTCTGTGGAGCTTAGCCTTAGTGGGGGAGGCGGCAGAGGGAGGAAAGAAAGCAAAGGCGGCTCCATGCCAAACTCATTCCTGGCTGATGCTCGTTCCCAAGGAGATACCTGGGCGCAGGGGAGCGGGCGGAGCGCCCTAGACATTAAAATGTTTCCCCGAGGGAGGGCGGCACCGCCCCTCGTGTGGGGGAAGCCGGGAGGAAGGCTGAGCAGGCATTTCATCCGGGGCGGGGGGTGATGCAGGACAAGGCGAGGGGAAAAGGGGCAGCCGCTCGGCCTGAGAAAGGGGAAGGAAGAACTCTGGCTGCACGGCTCGTGGGGAGCCAGTCGGACCTCCGGGGGGGGCCTCTTGGCCACAGGTGTGCTGACCCAGGTGGGGCTTTTCAGCTCATGGGCTTCCATCGGCCCTGCTGGGGCAAAGAGGAGGCCAGGCAGAGCGGCCTGTCATCCACACTGGCCCTGAGGCCTGGAGGGCCCTCCCAGAACCGTCACATGGCAGGACAGCACGGGGCAGCTCTCCACTGTGAGGGGCTATCCCCAGCCCTGCTAGGGGCACAGCGGGGGCAGCAGCGCCTTGTAGCCACGGACAGGCAGGCAGAGTTAGCTCAGCTGGGCGTATGGCACTCCCTGTGGGCCCAGCAGAGCAGTGGGGGTAGCCCCCACCCCCCCGTTTCAAAT